TATGTTCACAAATCCCCATCTCACTTTGATTTGAGTTCTACATGAGGTAATAAGTTAATTGTCTATATATGTTCTAAAGTTACTCTTTATGTTCTAAAGTTTTCCTTGTATGCTCTAAAGTTTTCTTTTTATGCTTTATAGTTTTTACTATTTATTTTATAATTCTCTTTTATGTTTTCTTTTTCTCTTTATGTTTTAATAATATTTTAGATCATAATAACATGTCATGTATATTTATATGTTCTAATGTAATTCACTCTATGTTCTACAATTATCTTCTATGTTTTAAAGTTAATTTCTATTTTCTATAGGTTTGAATGTGCATTGGATGCTCAAAGGCACACTCAAAATAAAATGGATAATGATTCGAAGAATAAGCGTCCGGAGTGTAAGACTCCAATTCCTTTAGAGAAAGATGCTTCTGAATTGTTTACAACAACAATTTTCTATGAATTTCAATATGAGCTTGAAATTGGATGTTTTAATTGTGGTGTTGAGGAGATGAAGAAGGACAATGAGCTTTTACATTTTCAATTTGAGGGAAGGAACTAGAAGGAGGACTTTTGATGTTGTTTTTTGATCCAACTACCTTTGATACAAAGTGTTTTTGTAAAAAAATTTGAAACGTGATGGTGTGCCTTGTAGGCATATGATTTGGGTGTGGAAGGCAAGGATGTTAGAAAAAATTCCCAAGGCCTACGTTCTAAATAGATGGTGTACAATGGCTTATAAGAAGCCCATTTTTGATTTAGAGGGTAATGTGTTGGAGGAATGTATTAATGCAGTAGATAAGAAAATGTTATTAAATGATTTGTGGTCTGAAATTCATGCTTGTGTGAGTTTAGTGCAAAACAATGAAGATGATCTTAGTGATCTTGTCAAAAAACTTCGAGCCATGAGGGTAGATTTGGAACAGAAGAAAACAAATGGAAGCAACAATCTTTCGAGCAAAGTTAAAGACATTGAAATGCTTATTGGAGCTAGTCTACCTTCTAATGTTTTAATCAAACCTCCTAAAATTTCGAAGAACAAAGGCACGGGGGTTCATGTTCCAAATCAGGTCAATGTTCCAAATGATGTCCATGTTCCAAATCAGGTTCATGTTCCAAATCAGGTAAATGTTCCAAATGATGTCCATGTTCCAAATGAGGTTCATGTTCCAAATAGTGACAAAAGAATGAAGAGTGACAGAGAAACGTCTATTGAACAAAGTCAAAAGAAGAAGAGATTATGTAGAGCATGTGGGGAGCTTGGTTATCATGATAGTCGTAATTGCCCTGGAAAAGTCAAGTGATATAGTAAGTAAACTTTATTTTTAATTTTCTTATGTTCTAATTTTCTTAACTTTAAGTTTTAAGTCAAAATTAATATATAATTTATACTTTGTGTTCTAAATTAATATTCTTATTTTCCAAACATAATCTCTAGTGTTTTAAACTAATATATATGTCATGTAATATTATTTTTTTATGTTCTAATGTAATCCATTTAATGTTCTAAAGTTACTTTCTAAGTTCTAGATTTACTTTATTTCTATGTTTTAAAGTTTATTATTTATGTTTTAAAGTAATTCAATATGCTCTAAAGTAACTATGTTCTAAGCAAGTTTAGAACATAAAGTTATTCATATATGTTCTAAAGTAATTCAATATATTCTAAAGTTACTTTTCTATAATGTTTATTCTTTCTGTTTTAATGTAATTCAATATGCTCTAATGTTAAGAACATAAAGTTATTTATTTTGTTCTAAAGTAATTATGTTCTAAGCAAGTTTAGAACATAAAGTTATTCATATATGTTCTAAAGTAATTCAATATGTTCTAAAGTGTTTTCTCTATGTTCTAAAGTTACTTTTCTATGTTCTAAAGTGTTTTCTCTATGTTCTAATGTTTATTCTTTCTGTTTTAGTGTAATTCAATATGCTCTAATGTTTAGAATATAAAGTTATTCATTTTGTTCTAAAGTTTTCCTTTATATTTTAACTTTTCTCTTTATGTTCAAAATATTTTCTTTATATGTTCTAAAGTTTTCTTTATATGTTTTAAAGGTTTCTTTAAATATTCTAAAGTTTTTACTCTATATAATATCATGTGTTCTAAACTAATAGAAATGGCATGTTATAACATTTTTTTAATGCTAAAATTATGTGCTTATGTTCTAATATTGTTTTATTTTTTTTTCTTTACAGGTTGATGAATATACTATTAATCCAGTTGTATGAGATGTTATATATTTAGAAACAATATCTCATTTACTAGCACGTAAAATATTATTCATGTAATTCTTAAAATATAAGAACTCAATTTTTTTACTTTTAGAAACAATATATTTTTATTTCTTTTTTGTCCAATTATTATTCAGAGTATCTCTACTAGTGTTTTTCTTATCAATTTTTATGTTAATTAAAGTTGATTATAATGTTTTATAACATCTCCTGTCTTTTCATCTTCCCCCCTTTTCGTAATTATAAGTTGTTTTATTAAGTCAATTTGAACTACGAGTAATGATAGCACAAGCATTTTAGATACCTTTATTAAACATCATTTAGTTGAATCTTGCTTTAATCAACTTTTATTTATTCAAGTTTCTTTAACATTGATTTACATATGCCTTCTTAGATATGCACTAAAGAGTGTATGCATTGTATTGAAAAGGAAAAAATAAAGCAAAAGTAATGGATTAGAAGCAGCCAGTTTAGTACATAAGCAAATACTTTAGAACATAGATAAAAATAATTAGAAGATTAGCAAAATCAATAATTTGGACATGTAATAAGAAAAAAGTACAACATAATAAGATATAATTAGAATCAAGTTACCAATTGAATGCTTTGGAATCTTGTTACTTTGGCTGTTGTCATTTCTTGTTACTTTTTTTTTAATTTTCTTATGTTCTAATGTTCTACACTTTAAGTTTTAAGTCAAAATTAATATATAATAATATATTCTAATATCCTAACTTTATAAGCATATAATTATTAAAACATAATCAAAAAATACTTTAGAACATACCCATATAATTTAAAACATGAATATAATTTAGCATATAAGTTTATATGATATATTTTATATTAAAATTTTAGCATTTAATATGATTTAACAATATATTTCTTGTAACAGGTAAATACATAGAACATAAGAAATTACTGTTATATTCTTTGCAAATATCTCTCTACAAATATAAACTTAAGATCTTAACAATCATATATCCATTTTGTTCTCCTTTGACCACTTTTTTGATCTCCTAATCACTTTGTTCCATTCTTCATTTACTTCTGCTGTTATTATCTTCCCACAATACTCCACTCTTAATTTTTTCATTTGGTCAAACTGCAAAAAAAAAAGAGTAACTTTTAGAACATAAACAGAAATACTTTAGAACATAAGCATATAATTTAGAACATGAATATAATTTAGCATATAAGTATAAATAAATATAATAAACCATAATATATCTAAACAATAACCAAACCAAACCACAACACTAAAACCACAACACCATAACACCAAAACCATAAACAAAACTAATTTAAAACATGTATCTTATGTTTTAAACTTACATTGTCTAATTCTAGTCCCGAATTCCATTGTTTTACAGATTCTCCTTCATATGTTTCCATGTGCTTCAACAGGAACACTCCACAATCATGTTTGTTCTTATTGCTCTTCCATGACATACTCAAGTTTCTTGTTTTGAAGGAGGATACAAAGTCACTCTTTATATTTGAGTCAATTGAGTGAATGAAATCACCAAATGCATTCAACTGAAAAATTGGATAAACTTTAGAACATATAAGGTAAACTTTAGAACATAAAGAAAAACTGTAGAACATAAAGGGAAAACTGTAGAACATATAAGGCAAAAGTTAGAACAAAAGTATAATTAAAAAAATGTAAACTTTGATGTCTTACCATTAATCTATGGTAATTTCCATATTTATTTTGAAAAGGAATATTTGGTGGAAGAAATCTGTTGTCAATCAAATCAAATGTTCCTTCCACAAAGTTGACACACAACAAATAGTAGTGATCTGGTAAAACGACCAGGAAGAAAACCTAATAGATAAACAGAATTAGAACATAGATAAGCAAAATTAGAACATAAGCATGCATTTTAGAACATAAGCATATAGTTTAGAACACAAGCATATAATTTTTATAACATGTATTTTAGAAAATAAGCTTGTAGCTAAGAACATGTAGTTTAGAACATAAGTAAGTAGTTTAGAAGATAAATAAGTAGTTTAGAACATAAGTAGATACTTTAAAACATAGATAAAAATAATTAGAACATAAACAAAACCAATAATTAGAACATATAATAAGAAAAAAGTACAACATAATAAGATACCAAGTTACCAATTGAATGCTTTTGAAGCTTGTTACTTCGGCCGTTGTCATTTCTTGTTGCATTCTATCAAACAAAGCCTTCATTCTATCATCTTGCCTTTCATTTGATTTGAAGTATTTTTTTGTACAACGTATGAGCTGAAAAAGAAAAAGAAATTAAAACATAAGTAATTAGAACATAGGTGCATAGTATAATCTATATGAGAAACAAAAAGAATCTACTCTTAGAACATAGTTATAATTTTAAGTTCGAAAACATACATAGCATTCAGTAGTGAAAAAGAACCTACTCTTCTTGTCTACACCACGTCTTTTATTTTCAAAATTCAATAGGCAAACATAAGCATCCACAACATTGTTCAACATGTGCTTGTCTTCTATGAGACTATGAATCTCATCTCTCGTAATCGTTGTCCCCATGTTATCAGCATACAAAAGCTCCCTAAAATCAGAAAAATAAAATCAGAACATAAGCATGTAGTTTAGAACATAAGCATGTAGTTTAGAACATAAACACATAATTTAGAACATAAGAATATAGTTTAGAACATAAGTACCTATTTTAGAACATAAGCATATAGTTTTTAAACATGTACTTTATAACATAATCTCGTAGCTTAGAACACGCAGTTTAGAACATAAGAATGAAGTTTAGAACATAATTTATAGCTTAGATCATATAGTTTAGAACATAAGCATATAGCTTAGACATAAGCATATAGCTTAGAACATAAGCATATAATTTTAAAGTTTTAAAGTCTTACTTATTATCTCCTTGAGCAAACGCATACTCAACTACCTTTCTATTGTCCACATTCTTGAAAAGTTTTTCATGTTCAACCATGAAAGGTGAACGCAAGTACATTGGAAGCTTATCCTTTCCTCTTTTTTTCCGTGTCTTTTCTTCTCCTTTTTCTTCTCCTTGTTTCCTACTTAATTCAATTAAAAAAATATCACATAGATAACAAAAAACCATAACTAAATCAAACCAAAATTTATTGATAACAAAAACCATAACCAAATCAAACCAAAATTTATTATTACCAAGTTCTAAATTAAAATTTAACTAAACCATAACCAACATTTGTTTTTAAAGTTTAACCTAACTTTTCTAAATATTTCTAACCTAAAGATCTAATGTTTACAAAAATGATTACCCTTTCTTGTTCTCATTTTTTTTCTTCTTTGTTCTTCTCTTCATTCTTGCTTCCTTCATTTTCTTTCTTCTCCTCTTGATTCTCCTCTTTTTCCTCCTTTTTCTTCTTCCCCTTTTCTTCTCTCTTCTCCTCTTGGATCTCCTCTTTTTCCTCCTTTTTCTTCTTCCCTTTTCTTCTCTCTTCTCCTCTTGGAATCTCCTTTTTTTCCTCCTCTTTCTTCTTCCCCTTTTCTTCTTTCTTCTCCTCTTGCTTCTCTTCTTTTTCCTCTTCTTTCTTCTTCTTCTTTTCTTCTTTCTTCTCCTCTTTCTTCTCCTCTTTTTTCCTCTTCTTTTCTTCTCCTCTTTTTCCTCTTCTTGCTTCTCCTCTTCATCCAATGTAGGTGGATGATCTGGATTCAGAAAAGCACAATTTAGAACATTTGCTGTCACTTCTTCGTAAGTGAGTTCTGCTTCATTATCTTCTTGATTTTCTGGGACATCAAACCATAAGTAGAAACAATAAGGACACAACATAGGAATAGTTGGAAAAAAATTTAGAACATTAGAAATAACTAGGAATATAACCAGAAAAATTTAGAACACAAGAAGTAACTTTAGAACATAACTAATTTACAACATAATTATATTATTTAGAACATATGCACATAATTTAGAACATAATCATACAATTTAGAACATATGCACATAATTTAGAGCATAACTAATTTCGAAACATAATCATATTATTTAGAAAATATGCACATAATTTAGAGCATAACTAATTTAGAACATAATCATATTATTTAGAACATATGCACATAATTTAGAACATAATCATATAATTTAGAGCATATGCACATAATTTAGCACATAATCATATAATTTAGAGCATATGCACATAATTTAGAACATAAGAAAGTAGTTTTAAAACATAAGCATCTGATTTAGAAAAAATTTTAGAACATCAGAAATAACTTTAGAACATAACAGAAAAAATTTATAACATAAGAAGTAATTTTAGAACAAATCTAGTAATATTAGTTCAAAAGAAAAGAGTTTTGAAAATAATGTAAAACTACCAACTGCTGGTGAGGGGGTCAATAAGTTGAAACTTGGAGGAGTTATATCAAAAGGTTGCTTCTTTTTTGGAGGAATTGGGGTTTTTGGTGACTCCTCATTCCTTTTCTCTTTCTTCTCAATTTTTTCCTCCTCGTTTCTTCTCTTTTCTGTCCTGCTCTTTTTCTTCTTCTTTTGATCCCAAATCTTCATAGCAATTACACCATAAAATTAAGTATTATAGCAAATAGCAAAAAATAATTAGAAAATAAAAAGTAACTTTAGAACATAAGAAATATATACAATTAGGAGACAACCTAGAAATAGTTAGAATATAAAAAATTAAGAATTAACTTTAAAGCATAACCAGAAAAAATTTAGAGCATAAGAAGTAATATTAGAACATATCTAGTAAATATTAGTACATAAAAAATGAATTTGAAAATAATGTGAAATTACCAACTACTGGTGAGGGAATCAACAAGTTTTGGTCTTTATTCTCTTCATTTCTCTCTTCTTTGTTCTTATCTTTTTCCTCTTCCTTTTGATCTCAAATCTGCTTAAAATTAGAACATAACTAATTTAGAACATAACTAATTTAGAACATAATCATATAATTTAGAACATAAGCATGTAATTTAAGCGCATGTTTCTCCATTTGCATCATTGTGCTCGATAAAAGGTCCATAGAAAAATATTGGAAGGAAAAGATACTTCGAAAATGAACCTGTTCCCACGCAATAGTCAGGAATTCTTGACGGTATCGAGCTGGAACAACCTGTTCCTCCTGAATACCTTGATTCAGGGCCAAAGAATTTCCGGACGCTAACATATAGTATTCATCCCTGCTTGGTGATAAATAAAGCATATGCACTCCTTTTGGTCTTTTAGAAAATTTCATAATAAGGACTTTCTAGAGACCCCCAAGGACCAATCCTCGCATGAAACCGAGGATTTTACATAGTACTTTTGATCGAAATCAAAATCAATCGGATTTTTTTCGTACCCTTCGCTCAATGAGAAAGTGGGTCAGATTCTACGGTCTGATTGTATCAACTAAAAATTTTAAAAAATCTTTCTGGATCTTCGGAAACAATTTGTTCGTCAAATTTGTGAAAAATGCCGGCTGATCCCCCTAGCGAGTAGATAGCATTGTACCCTGATTCTTTAGATTCTTGATCCTTGGAGAGCGAAAAGGGGACTACACTGGATCTGTACGGCTTTCCTGATAATATCCATAAATGGCTTGTTTTTTGGTAAGAGATGAACATTGCCAATGCGGAAGGATGTCGCCGAAAAGAATGGAACGCTGCTTTGCTCTGCTCCCCCGGGGAGCATGGACCCCACTAATTTTTCCAACGACCAATCAGTTAACAGCCGACCGCTCTACCACTGAGCTACTGAGGAACAACGGGAGACTCGATCTGATAGAGTTCGACCGTGAAGTCACCGGATGAATTGCCGGGTAGATAGATCAGATCCGGACGTGGCTGTTGCTCCACGGCGATACGGACTCGACCCGCTCCTACCCACCACGGGGCACCATAGCATGTCGGGAATAAGGGAGGACATACTGGACGTTGAATAATTTTTACAGATTCGGCCATTTCACCAGAACATAAAAAAGTACTTTAAAACATAAGCATCTGATTTAGAACATAAGTATAATTTGGAAATTAAGCATGTAATGTGAAATTACCAACTGTCGGTGACTTTGGTGACCTTGTTTTCCTCAAATTTCTTCCATGCCTTATCCATAACCATATCCAATTCTTCAATAAATGCCGGTTCATCGAAGACATGTTGATCTTGGCTGAGTTATAGAAGGACTTTTCTTTTCTTCTTGGTTCACGAATGTCTATAAAATAAGAAATTATAATTTAGAACATAATATGCATAATATTTATATAAATTTATTATACTTTAGAACATAAGCTGAAAATACTTTAGAACACAACAGAAAAATACTTTAGAACATAATTATAATACCTTTGTTGTGTACTTGCACCATATGTTGGTCTATGAGATGTTGCATTTTTCCTGTTGTTTCTTCCTCAACAAAAAGATCTTTTGCTTGTTCTAACATGCCATACATCTCTTTAACATTCGAGGCAAGTGTTTTTTGCCAAATCTCCAAATTTGCTCAAAAGCCTTCATTAGAACACAAAAATATTTTAGAACATAAATGACATAACATGGATAATTTAACAGAAAAGGATTAAATGGAGCATAAAATATAATTTAGAACATAAACTAAATCATACCATCATGTCATTTCGAGAAGTTGTAGAACTAGAACCTATTGATGATTTTTCCATTCTCTTCTCTTTTTTCCTTTTGTTTTGGTTGTTTCTTTTTTCCTTTTTGTGCCTTCTAGTATATAAATTATAAAATTTAGAAAACAACAACATAAATTTTAAAGATTAGAATATAAAGGTTAGAATAAAGTGTTTTCAATTTTTACAAGATAAGCATATGTAGTAATAATTTAAAAGGTTATAATTACCATTGATGACTCTTCCTTTCTCTTTCCTTGTCCTCTTGTCTTGATTGTTTCTTGTTTTCTTCCTACACATTATAATATATGAATTACAAAATTTAGAATATAAAGGATAAACTTTAGAGCATAAAGAGAGAACTTTAGAACATAGGCAAAAGTAAGTTGAGTGATTAGAACATAAAGGATAACTTTACAACATAAAGGGTAAACTTTAGAACATAATGGGTAAACTTTAGAACATAAAGTGTAAACTTTAGAACATAGGCAAAAGTAAGTTGAATATAAAGTTTAGAATATTTAGGGGTAAATGTTAAAATAGTTTATCACATAAAGTATATAGTTTAGAATATTTTAGGGGTAAATATTAAAACAGTTATCACATAAAATATATAGTTTAGAGCATAAAGGGTAAACTTTAGAACGTAAGCAAATATAGATAGAATATAAAGTGTAGTGTTTAAACATAAGCATATACAAATATCATACCACAATTGATTCCATTCTTTCCAAGAGTTTTCCATATCCAAATCCATGATCTTTTTCAAACTTATATCTCACTTGAATCCTTTCCTTTGTCCACACCGAAATTAGTGGACATTTTCTTGGTTTTTCTAACCTCCTCTTTGTAGACGATCAAAATAGAATACCTATTTTAGTACATGTTAAGAATTAATTAGAATATTTTTCACACATTTTCAACATAACAAGAATAATATATATACATAATGGTAAGAATTTAAAACTTACCATTAGAAAAGGTAAAGGACCTGTAAAGTAAGAATTTCCTTCTTCCATACACTTACAGAATCTTTCAAGTGCTCAATCACAAATGTGCACCAATCCAATTCAGCAATTTTCTTTACATCCATACAACTATACAAGAATTTAATGTATAGTTGTGGGTTTTTTGTTGATCGAATGCAACAATTGACAACACATACCACAAAGTTCCAAAGAAATTCATCAGAAACTGATTTTTCCTTCTTCAATTCTTGAATTCTGTCAATCAATCTCTTGTTGGTTGGACTTCCCTTTTAGAGGTAAAAAAAACATATAAATTAAAAACCTATGGAGATAATAGATCTATTTTAAAGCAGAAAAACACTTTAGAACATAAGCAAAGCACTTTAGAACATAAAATTTATAACATAACCATCTTATACCAATATAATATCATAAAAATAGCTAAATATAATTTTGAACATTACAAGTCAAATAACTACATAAATGATCTACGTTTTAGAACATAAAATTCATACTTTAGAACATAAAATTTAAAAACATAACCACATTATATCATCATACTTTTTTTGAGGCCAAACTTGCTTCTCCAAGCTTTTAGAAACTTGCTCCATTTCAGATTTGACTCATCATTTGGTTGCTCAATCCTTTTGCCTCCCAATGGCAACCCATAAGCCAAATGAACATCAATTGCCTCCAAAAAGATTTCTTGTTTTCTCTTTGGTAACATCAAACAACATCTCTCCGTGTC